TATCCCGATGCCTTGCCCCGGTTCCATACCGGCTCTATCCCGATCCCCGTCCCGGCTCCGTCCGTGCTCCTCTCCCGATCCCCGTCCCGGTTCCATACCGGCTCCATCCCGATCCCTGCCCCGGCTCCATACCGGCTCAGCTCCGCGGGTCCTCCTCCCGATTCAGTCCTGCCGCCGGTCCCGATCCCGATCTCGATCTCGGCTCCGTTTCCAGCTCTAATTCCGGATTCATCCCAAACACTCATCCTCGCTGCATCCCGACTCTGTTCGGGATGTTGGAGCACCTCCAGGCTCCATCCCGGCTCTGTTCTCCCTTTGTCTTCTCTCCCAGCCCCATCCCATCCTCATTCCCACCTCTATCYTGCCTGTACCCCAGCCTCATCCCGGGCCCCATCCTGGCTCTCTCTATCTCCCATCGCAGCTCAATTCCAGCCCCCTCTTGGCCCTAACTCCAGTCCTGTCCTGGCTCTATCCCAGCTCCCATCTCAGCTCTCTCCTGGCCCCTTGCCCAGCTCTATCCCAGATTCCCGCTCCCACTCCAAGGTAAATTCCCTGGTTCTTCTGGAAGCCCTGCAGCCCCCAGCCCCAATCCCCCCTCCATTCTGTCTCCAGAAGGGCTCTGGGATGTGTCCTGATGGTGGATCCCAGACAGAAACTGGGCAGGGGATGGGCAGGGAGTGTGGGATGACCTCAGGGCATGTCTRGCGCTGCCTCTGGGCTCCTCCCGCGGGCAGGAGCACAGCCACGACCCYTTTGTGTTGGCAGAGCCCCTTCCACTTCCACATGGACCGGCAGAGCTCACCGGAGATGATGGTGGATGTGCTGGTCAGCGTGCTGCAGGCCAACGACTGGCAGGAGAGCAGCCTGGTGCTCTGCCACCCCTGGGACATCGACGGCTTCCTCGACCTCTGGGCCCAACGTTCCCAACTCTTGCTCCGCACCGTCCTGGACCTGGGCTACCTGGACGAGCCCAGGGCCACCCGCTACCTGCGGCAGCACGGGGAGCGTGTCAGGAGCCTCTCCAGCCCGGTGCTGGTGCTGGGCTGTGACCTGCACCGCGCTCGGCTCGTGTTCCGAGTGGCCGAGGAGTTGGGGCTGCCACCACAGGAATTCCAATGGATGCTGGGCTTTCCACTCAGCGCCAGCGAGCTGCAGACCGAGGGGCTGCCCCCGGGGCTGCTGGCCTTCGGGGAGGTGAGCCGGCCACCGCTGGAGCTCTTTGTGCAGGATATGGTGGGATTGGTGTCCCAGGCCATTGCCCACGCTGCCCGCGGCCGTCCTGACCCCGCGCTGCTGCAGACCACGGGCAGCTGCAAYGAGAGGCATCGAGCAGGCGGCGAGTCCCCGGGGCTCTTCCTTACCCGGTAAGGGGTGCTGGGGGTGCCTCTTTTCCCCCATTCCGGCTCTGTGATATTGGGGTGCATGGGGGAGCTCTGCCCCAGACCCAGAACAGGGTGAGGGCAGAGCCTGGGGACCCCTGGGCTCGGTGCAGCGCTGTCCCCAGCGTGTGCAGCCACCACCGTGGGGCTCAGCCCCCCAGGACATGGTTATCACTGCACAGGGGGGGATGTGTCACTTCAGATCTCCGTAACGCCGCCCGAGCACGGTCACTCTATAAATATTAATAACGCTCGGCCCTGGCAGCACAGCGAGCTGCGGGGCAGCGCGGCGGGGCCGGATCCTGCTGCTCCTCCTTGACCTTGTCCCTGCCCGAGTCRGGCATGTCCCTGTCCCACCTCCCAGCCTCATCCCTTGGTCACAGCTCACCCAGGACACACAGGAGCTGTAAAACTCTTTTCTTGGCAGGTTCCTGGCCAACACATCCTTCCACGGCCGGACGGGGCTGGTGCGCGTGGAGAACACGGCAGTGGTGAGGCCGGAGCAGCAGTTCCGCRTCTGGAGCCTGCGTCGGGACTCGCAGGGGGTCCCCACCTGGGTGACAGTGGGCACCTGGAGCCACGGCAAGCTGGAGCTGGAGGAGGGCGTGTGGCAGAGCCAGMGGCAGCGCAAGAGCCCCAGCGAGGCGGCCGGGGAGGCCCGCACGCGGCTGCGGGTGGTGACGCTGGTGGAGCACCCCTTTGTCTTCACCAGGGAGGTGGATGAGGAAGGGAACTGCCCGGCCGGACAGCTCTGCCTGGACCCCGGCACAAATGACTCGGCCGTGCTGGACGCCCTCTTTGAGAAGATGGGCAAYGGCTCAGTGCCGCGGGCGTACAAGAAATGCTGCTACGGCTACTGCATCGACCTGCTGGAGAAGCTGGCCGAGGACATGGCCTTTGATTTTGAGCTCTACATCGTGGGGGACGGGAAATACGGGGCCTGGAAGAACGGGCGCTGGACGGGACTGGTGGGGGACCTGCTCAGTGGCACGGCCCACATGGCYGTCACCTCCTTCAGCATCAACTCGGCGCGGAGCAAAGTCATCGATTTCACCAGCCCCTTCTTCTCCACCAGCCTGGGCATCCTGGTGAGGACCAAGGACACGGCGTCGCCCATCGGGGCCTTCATGTGGCCCCTGCACTGGACCATGTGGGTGGGCATCTTYGTGGCGCTGCACATGACCGCGCTCTTCCTCACCCTCTACGAGTGGAAGAGCCCCTACGGAATGACTCCCCACGGCCGCAACCGCATGAAGATCTTCTCCTACTCCTCAGCCCTCAACCTCTGCTACGCCATCCTCTTTGGGCGCACCGTGTCCAGCAAGACGCCCAAGTGCTGCACTGGACGCTTCCTCATGAACCTCTGGGCCATTTTCTGCCTCCTGGTGCTGTCCAGCTACACAGCCAACCTGGCGGCCGTCATGGTGGGAGACAAGACCTTCGAGGAGCTCTCGGGCATCCACGACCCAAAGGTGGGCAAGTGTCCTGCTGCTTCAGATGGGCTGAGACAAAACTGAAGGCCAGGGAAAGAAAGGGGTGAGGGGGGTCCTCTCCTTCCTTCTGCCCCTTCCTCCTTCTCTCCAGCCCCAGTTCTGCATCYTGACCCCTCTTAAGAGTGGGGAGGTCTTTGAGACCCCCAGAGAGCTTTGTGTGTGGGTTTAATCCCAGCCTCAGCTCCAGGGCAGGGGGAAGTGGGCTGAGTTCATGCTGAAGCTGCCCTTGGGGAGGCTTTTTCCAAAACACCCTCAAGAGCTGCTGCACCTCTGGGGCTGCCCCAACACCCTGCCTGGGGCTCAGGGCTGGGKACACATYCCTGGGGGAGTGGGGACACATTCCTGGGGCCGAGGGTGCTGATGCTCTGGTGCCTCCTTCCAGCTCCATCACCCCTCACAGGGCTTCCGCTTCGGCACGGTATGGGAGAGCAGCGCYGAGGAGTACATCAAGAAGAGCTTCCCCGAGATGCACGAGTACATGCGGCGCTACAGCGTCCCCACCACCCCCGACGGYGTCACCATGCTCAAGTGAGRGGCAGGGAGAGCATGGGGGGGTTCTYTCCCATCTTTTACCCCTCYCAGGGCAGGTTTTGTCCCAGCCCTGGAGCCTGTGCACTCTCTACCCCACATCCCCAGCTTCTGGGAGGGGTTTCAGGCTGGGGAATGCTGAGGAAGGGGGATCAGCCCCTCCCTGAGCATCCCCCTGTGCTGGTACAGGACAGAGCCCGCCAARCTCAACGCCTTCATCATGGACAAGTCGCTGCTGGACTACGAGGTCTCCATCGACTCYGACTGCAAACTGCTCACTGTGGGCAAACCTTTCGCCATCGAAGGTTTGTGGGGGCTCTGGTGGGGAGGGGGTTCCGTGTTTTGTGTGTGTTTGTGGGGATGGTGCCCCCTCTGTGGTGGGCACTGCCCAGTCCCAGCACTGCCCCTCTCTCCCCCCTCCCCACACCGGGGCCAGGCTACGGCATCGGCCTCCCCCAGAACTCGCCGCTGACCTCCAACGTGTCCGAGTTCATCAGCCGCTACAAATCCTCGGGGTTCATCGACCTCCTGCACGACAAGTGGTACAAGATGGTTCCCTGCGGCAAACGCGTCTTTGCCGTCACTGAGGTGAGGCAACCGCTCGGCCGGGGGAGGCTCTGGGCTCTGACACCCCCACACAGCCCAGCCCACACCCCCTGCTCCCCGCAGACCCTGCAGATGGGAATCTACCACTTCTCGGGGCTGTTCGTGCTGCTGTGCATCGGGCTGAGCGGCTCCCTGCTCACCTCGCTGGGCGAGCACGTCTTCTACCGCCTCGTCCTGCCCCGCATCCGGCGCAAGAAGAAATTCAACTACTGGCTGCACACGAGYCAGGTGGGGCCGGGAAAAGGGGCTCACGCAGCACCCCAACCCATATTGGTGCTCCCTCCTAAATTGCACCACTCTACCCTCCTCCACCAACCCTCATTTAGCCCCTGAGCCATCACCCCCAGATCATCACCCTCCAATTAACCCCTCATCTGTTAACCCCAGACCATCAYGCCACCCTTAACCCCAAAATCATCACCTCTCATCTCATTCTTCCCTTGTTCCCCACAGAAAATCCACCGGGCATTGAACATGGGCACGGAGGAACGGAAGAGCCAGCCACTGAAGTTGGAGCAGAGGTACAGCCGGGTTTGGGAGCCTGCCCCGCTCTCCTTCTCCTCCTTGTGGACACCCAAAATTCTGGGGGGCTGCAGAGGGACCCCACAGCAGCCAGATCGCAGTTCAACCCTTCCACCCTCCCCACGCAGGTGCGAGCCCCAGCCGAGATCGGCAGCGGCGGCCGCACAGCAGCCCTGGAGCGCCCTGCGGAAGGAGGCGCGGCGGGTGCGCTTCCAGCTGGACAAAGCCCCCGCCGAGACCGAGGGGTCCCCGCGGCACCCCGGGAACGGGCGGCCCCCGCAGCCCCTGGACAGAGCGGCCGGTGAGAACGAGCTGCGGGAGCTGGARGAGAAGATCCAGGAGATGCGGGAGCAGCTGCGTGCGGCGCTGCTGAGGAAGAGCGAGCTGGTGTCCGTGCTGGGCACCGCCAAGAGCGGCCGGGCACTGCCCGCTCTGCTGACCACCGAGGCGACCCGGGAGGAGAGGTGAGGGGAGGGTAGGGCACCCTAAAAGCACCCCAAAGCACCCCAGGAGGAGAGGTGAGGGTAGGGCACCCCAAAGCACCCCAGGACACGCTGCTCTGCCAGGGCGGGGCAGGGCACCCGCTCCTCCGGCTCGGGGAAGAAGTGGAAGGAAAAAGGGAGGGGGGATGTCCTGTGCCCCTTCTCCGTGCCTTTGTGCCTTCCTCCCGTCCCTCCCGCTGGCAGCCGGGCTTTGGAAAGGCCGGGAGGTTCTTTTGGGGGGGTTGAATTGGGGTGAGAGGTCCCCGTAAAGCCCCGGACAAAGCTCAGCCCCTTGCTCTGGTTTATTTACACCACGKAAATAAAGATGACGAAGGAAGATGRAGTCTGCTTTYCCTCTTGCAGCCGCATCCCAAACTCAGCCAAGCCTGGGCTAAGCGTAACCTTTCCCTTCCCCTCCCTCCTCCGCAGGCCCGGCTCGGCCCCGCCGCAGGACGGCAGCGATTAGAGGCGGCAGAGGAAGCTCCCACACGGATGGGGCAGGAGGACAGGCCGAGATCGGAACATCCCGCTGGAGAAGYAGCTCCAGGGCGGCCAAGCCGGGCTGATCCCAGAGCCACCGCGAAGGAGAAGCGGAGCYTTCCTCGGGCGGAGGGTGAGGGACGGAGACGCTGCTCAGGGAGCGGGACAGGCTGCGGCTCAGGGCTCTGCTCYGCCCGGAGGATAAGGAATAACTCCCCATCCCACTGCGGGCGGCTGTGGAAGGACCTGGAGCCCTGCAGCCCTTCCCCCGGCACGGAGGATGCCCAGCAGCACCGAGTATGGCCAGGACAGGGCTGGTGCTCAGCCCCCTGCCCTGCCAACCCCCTGCACACTGCAAGGGGACAGATGGTGACACCCCAGCATAGTGGCACCCCCAGGACTGACCATTGACCTCGCTGCACCCCCCTGCCCCCTGGACTCCCAAACGCCAGCCCAGCACAGCYGGGGGCAGGGCACGGGGCAGTGCCGCAGGAGCTGTTAAGAGATAATATTTATTATTATATACAAACACGTTTTGTACATTAATTAAATAGAATGAACTCTACTCTTCATTCATCAAATCATTTGGTTTGGTGTCCCCCCTTCCCCTCACACCCACTCCTCTGAAAATCCAGAGGCTGGGAGCCAGTTGGCCACGAGGCCCCTTCTCAGCAGTGCTGGCAGCAGCAAGACTTGACCTGCTGGGCACAGCAGGGTCGCCCCAGSCCCGGAGCAGCACCACGGCTGCTCCAGGCAAAAGGGAAACACAAAAAAGGGGCACCCAGGTGGGAAAGGCAGAGGGGTGAGGAGGGGGTCTGAGTCCCCCTGTTGACAAGGAAACACTGAAACGGCACAGAGCCCTCTGAGGGAGACGGACTCCAAACGCTGCTCAGCCTTAGGGGGACAATGCTGTACTTGGGGACAACTGTGTAGGGACCCAGCTGTCCCCATCACCTCCTGTCCCTGCCCTGTCCCACCGTGGTTCTCCCAGAGCTTCATCACCCCACCTCACTCTGCTCCACCTCCAGCACATCCTGGCACGGATCTGGCCCCTCTGCAGGGCCCACAGGCAGCACTGCAGCTCAGCTCTTGGCAGAGGCGTTTGAGCTCTGCCAGCCTCACCCTCCACTGCCAGGGAATTGGGGGAAAATMAGCTGAAATGTCTTGGCTTTAGTGTTTTGGTTCTTTGCTAAACCAGCTCATGCAACAGTCCAGGCATGAGGAGCCACTCTCCTCTGGGATGGAGCTGATCCTAAACACAGACGTGTCCCACAGGAGGGACAAGGCACTGGATAGCAGCTGCCTCACCCAGAGCAGAGCTGTGCAGGACAGAGCTGCTGCTCTGGCCCCACACTCCTCCAGACATCCATTGCAGCACGGCCAAGCATCACTCACAGCTCCTGAGGGCAGCTCCCACCTGGACACAGCACCGTCCACCTCCCAACCCACTCGCTGAGGGAAATTCGAGGACAGAGAAAAGGGGGCTGAACGGCAGCTTCTCCTTTGGTTGTGCCCTGGCCTGGGCAGACCTTGTGCCTGGGGAAGGTAAAAGGAGCAGGAGCAGGAAAGGTGACCAGGAATGGCCACTGTGGCCTCCCACGGGGGCTGGACACTCTCTGCCTGTTCTATCCACTCCTACTCTCACCACAAAGCTGCCACACGTGTGGAGTGTCCCAGGTCAGCTCCCACCTGGGATCAGCACCTGGACTGCAAATACAGCTGCAGGGGCAAAGCTGGGGATTGGGGGACAAGGAAAACTTAGGGCACGAGCGGGGCACAGTGGTGGCTGGSTCACCTGTGGCCTCAGAGGAGCCCCAGAGCCACGTGGGCCAGGGGACCAAACCCCCCCAACCTTCCCACAGCCCCCCRTGCCTTTCCCAGGGGAGGGAGGTCACTGCAGCCCTGCTCTGCCCCAGCTGCTCCAGCTCTGCTCAGAGGGATCCATGGGTTAAGGATGATGGTGAAGTGAGAAATAGTAACAAAGAAAATCCAAATGCCTTCCCGGCAGTTCCAGAGCGACAGGAACAGGGCTCAGGACAGGTTCCTGGAGCTTAGCTCCGAGCTGGGYGTTCTCTCTGCTGGTGCTGGGCAGGGGCTCCTCTCCCCCGGGTCCTCCAAGCCTCTGTCCTGGTCACTGTCCCCCCCCGAGGCTGGCAGGGGCTCTGCCAYGCTGCTGCTGCCCATGCAGTTCTTGCCATTGGGTTTTGCTCGGCTGTCTGAGCCCTCGAGAGCCTCAGTCTGCTTGGGAAGGGAGGGGCTGGAGCTGGGGACAGCCCCTTCCTGCAGYGAGGAGGGTGCCGCCCCAGCAGCGGGGGGAGCATCTGCTGCAGCCACCACGGACGTTGAGGTGACCTCGATGGTGATGGAGCCCACGGCCGTCTCTGGGTGGTCACTGCTGACCCTGATGCGGGCAACCAAGCCAGAGGCTGTGGCCGCCTCCTGAGGGGTCCCGTTGGCCACAGCTTCGTGCACCACGGTGGGCTCCAGGAGGGTCGTGCTCAGATCAGACAGAAACGAGGCCTCTGTCACGATGGCGGCTGTCTCAGCCACCCAGTTCAGGTCACTGCCCACGGAGGCAGCGGCGGCGATGACGCTGGAGGCTTCTCCAGGGGTCAGAGCGGCCGGACCGCTGCCCTCCCCRGGGGGCCCGGTGGCCAGCGGGGCTCGGCGGCCCCCAGCCTCGACAGGGGCGGCCGTGGTGTTGTTGTTGAGGTTGTCCTGCAGCGTGGTCTGGGTGCCCTGGCCGACCTGCTGGTTCTGCAGCAGCATCTCCTGGATCCTGATCTGCTGCAGGATGGCTGGCAGCTCGTAGTGGTGGAAGAAGTAAATCATGGAGTGCTGGGGGAGGAAAGGGAAAGGAGTCACCCTGGGCCTGGGTCACAGGCCACCACACGTTCCAAGAAAACCAAACTTCTGGAGAATYCAGCTCCTCTCACAGCCAGAATGTTAGCAGCAAGTTGCAAAAGATTTATCTCTTCCACTATGATTMCTGCAAGCTGCTTTATTTTTTCTCTCTGAAGACAGGCAACAGAGTACAATCYCTTTTCCCTGTCAAAGGCTGGGATAARAGRGATAACAGCATTCCTCTGGCCCATMCTGTCCCCACCCTGCAGCAGGGACACCCAAAAGGCATGCTTGATCCAGGATACCAGACACATCAGCTTGGAGCTGGTTCTGCCAGCATCCTCRCTGCACAGACCTGAACAGCTCCTCTGCAAGGCAGACCCTGCCCAGGATTTATTCCAGGACAGGACRGAAATCCTTCCCAACATCCATGTGACACCAGGTTACTGTCAGTCCCATGGCTGGCCTGGAGACAGCAATCCAAACATCCCTCTCTTACACAGCYTCCTTCTGCTGCTCCATTTCCTAACCAGGCTTAATTCCATCTCTGACATAAATAAGGATCCCTACTCCAACCCAGATTGATGGGAAGTTTGACAAAACCCCCCGAGGTGCAGCAGCCCTGCAGGGACTCACCTGGATGAAGAGCCAGGAGGTGACAAGTGCCAGGCTGCTGTACTGCCCGTTGAAGCGGTAATGGTAGGCGTAAAAGGCGAAGTGGTACAGGTAGAAGAATCTGAGCAAGAAGACAAGAAAAATCAGGCAAAACATGACCTCCCTTCTCCCAAAACCAGCCTGAGCTAGGACACTTCACCCAGGGCAACACAGACTCATTAACAAGTAATTAGAGTTGCCTGGCTATGAATAGAATAAAACAATGGGCAGGGGAAAAKCAAGGTGATTCCAAGATTCCAAATCCAAAATGCACTTTGGACCCTGTGATGTGTGGGGCAGGTCCCGAGCAGCCACAGGAGTGGGGATTGTTGCGTCTGGAGGTGCTGGGAAGGACCCAGAGCAGCCAGAGGGGATGTGGGCACAGGCAGCCCCTACCTGAGCCAGTGCCTCTTGCTGGTGTTGGTGTGGCAGCAGATGGCATCGTACTGGTCTGCCAGCCATACGATGAGGATGATGTAGAACGCGGTCGTGGTGTCATTGAAGAACTCGGACATTATGGCCTCCATACCTGGGGACAGAGGGGACATCARCAYRTGGCAGGGCATGAGAAGGGGTCTTCTGTCACCTCAGAGCAGGGCTGTGACTGCACCTGCCCAGGGCAGGTAACAGCTCTGCTTATGGCAGCAGCTACAACCAGCAATGTTCCACCTGCACAGCCAGGGATCCCAGCACAGGTTTTGGGAGGTTTGCTGCTTTTTAAATTCAAACTGTAYARATGCAACGTGGCCACAGAGYGCGAGTCTGCAATGAGCTCCAGGGACAGACAAAGCTTTGGATTCTGGGATTTCCCAACAAACTACTGCTTTTTCAGGGCAACCACAAGGACAAAGGAGCTCACTGTGCCAACAAATTCCAGAGCTTTCTGCCTTGTGATGAGCAGCCACAGTAACCACCTGCCGCGGSCAGCTCGGAACAGGGAATTAGACTTCCCACAGATCCCAGAGGGATGTGCTGCAGACACAAGCAGCGAGGCAAGTCCTTACCGACCAGAGCCAGGATGACAGTGAGAAGTGGAGCTGCAGGGAACGCAATGGTCATGTTCATCTCCAGCATCTGTAACAGGTCAACTGCAAGAGGGAAAACACACTGTGGCACGGAGAAAATGGTGGGAGGCACAGAACCCTCCACCCCATGGTACTGCCCACTCAGTGCAGCCAAATCCCTGCCCCCACTTAGTATTTCTAAGGACAGAGWGCAGCTCTGCCAAGTGCAGGGACTGGAAGCAGGAGGATGTATTCCCCGTGCAGCTACAGGTAGGACCTTTCTAAACAGGGACAAATGATCCTCAAGGTCCTTCCAACCTAAACCTGCTGTGACTCTATGACAGCCYGTGCTGGAGCAGCCACAGTGCCCAGCACAACCCAAACCCCTCAGCCAGTCCTTACCAATGAAGACAAAGATCTGATGGTGTGAGTAGCGCAGCAGCATCGAGACAGAGAGAGTCTGGAATGGAGAGAGAAGAGGAGGCAGATTAGAGCCCCACGGGCACAGGGAGTAGCTCAGAATCGCACTGCGGCAGTGGCCAGGGTGAGCCTGGCCTTGCACATCCCACGTTCATTAGCTGGAGCTGTGCAGAGCCATTTCCCAAAGAGTAATTAGGGCTTCACAAACAGCAATTAATCTCTGTGCTGCTGCAGGGGAACAGACAGTAAGGGATTTGTTTGTAAAGGGACCAATCCTGAACATTTGTGCTGGGGCCACGCCAACCCACAGAGCTGGGAGCAGGGATTCTCCTGCCCTCCATCCCCTCCTTACTTCACTCAGTTCCTCCTCGGTGCCCACAGTGTGATTGTGCACAGACCTGCCCCAGTGGGTGGGACAGCCACACACAAAGACACAGTCACCCACGGCCACCCAAGACAACAAACATGGCGTAGTTATTGCTTGGGATCTTGTCTGATGTGTATCTGAGAACATCTCGTCTCATCGCTTGCTTTATCTTGATTATCTTGGTTTAACACTCCTGGCAAATCAGCCTGGGCTGTACTTAAAAGTTTCGGAGGACAAACGTCTGCACCCTGTGCTGACAGCTGGAGTGTTTTAGGGACACTTAGAAATCAACAGCAACTCCCTTYTCACAATGAAACAACACTAGTTCAGCTTTTCTGTTAGTTTCACTAGTTGGCTTTAAAAACTTTAAATAACCCCAAACAAAAAAAGCCCCAGAGTAGGGCCTCATCCTCCACCAACTACACTTTAAAAGCAGATGAGAGCTCAGGTCTGTGCTGCCCAGCACTGGGCTGAGTCCAGGCACTGCCCAGCWCACGGTGACTTACGAAGATGACCATGATGACAAAGGCTGCCAGGTAGGAYGTCCTGGCCATCCACATGCTGACAAAGCGATAGTGCTCCCCRGACACCACATTGCGAAGGAAACCTGGAGAAAAAGCACAAACACAAGCTCAGTGTGATTAACTCACAGATTAAGAACCAAGCACCAGTGCCTGCTAAAGAAACAGGATTTGGAGCAAATCCTCAGGGCAGCACTCATTGTCATGCAGGGCGGTGAAGCGGGAGGAAATCACGTTTCCAGACACCTCTCCCCTCCTGCCTCTCTCATTTTGTCCTTGACAATAACACAGGGAGCTGTTCCCTGCATTACAGATTAATCAATAGTCAGAAGATGATAGTCAGGCATCCACAGAACAAACACCCACTGCTCCAAGCAGCCGCTGCTGCGACTCCTCCAGGCCTTACCTTTGTTTTCCTCRTTTTCAGCTAAAGCTTTGACGCTCGACATCAGGATGTCATCATAGCCCAGAAACTCATCCAGCAGCAGGCGGCTGAACCTGTCTCCAAAGCACTGATCTCTGGTAGGATCTAGAGAGAAGACAAAAACCTTTCACATTGTTCACACCTGGAACCACAAAGCAAGGAGGTGAGGGATACTTGTGCCAGCAGAGCTGCACCTGCATGTGGACCTGGGGCAGTAAAACCCAACTTGGCAGGACTGGGAGAGAAAATGCCACCTCCTGACAGATACAGCCACACTAAAGTGCTAATGGCAGTCGGGACTTAAGGATCATCAGGGYTGTCACACTCTGTGCTGGCACAGACACAAAGGGAATTTGCCCTCTAGGCTTGGCCTGTCTCCTGGGCTCACCCCGAACACCCATTACTGTGCAGAAAAACTGCTTAACTCCCATCCAGCTCTGCTTCAGCTTGAGTGGGAGGAAGTAAAGAGCTCCACTCTGATTGCTGCACTAACAGATWCAAAGGTTTACAGGCATGGGAAGGTCTGAGGCTGTGCTCCTGACTTGGACAGGTTTTAATGGAGCACATGCCAGGAGAAGAGAACACTGCTCAGGGAAATGACCTGCTGGTGCTCCCAGGGGCACAGAAGCACACAGAGTGTGACACAGATGTGTGAGCACTGTCCCAAACAGCTGCACAGCTGCTCTGGCCACCAGGCTCTAACCCTACACTGCTGAGCCCAGAGCTTCAGTGTCTTCATCCAGGGAGAGAGCTCTTCCCTGCTCCATGTGAAAACTGTGCTGGGCATGATATCAGGGCTCACCGAAACAGGCTCCACCATTTCAGAAGACTCCTCCTGGAAAGCTGTGACCTACTAAAGGCAGACGGCTGCAGACAGCAGCTCTCTCACGTGGAAAGTGAGCACCAACAGCTTCAGGAGGAGTTCCCAGAGATGGTGTGGAGGTCTCTGCACTGCAGGTACCCACCCCTGAGCCCCCCACCCTGCCCAGGCTGTCTCCCACTCACCCAGGGTCACCACCATGACGGGGATGCTGAGGCGCTGCCGTGTGCTCTGGGACAGGCGCAGGAAGCCGTAYTCCAGAGAGTATTCCACAATGTAYTCTTCCTGTGGCCACACTGRGACAGGGACACAGGGAGACAGGGACACTCAACAGCCACATCTGCAAACAGACACCACGAAGAAACAGCCCCTCTGGGTTCCCTCCCACCTTCCCACCACATTCTTGAAAAGGGAACTGGTTGCAAACATGGGCTCCAGGCTTCTCTCAACAATTTAACATAAATCAATACAAACTCTTTGGAATTACAGCCCATTCCCTTGACATTAGTTCTTAATGTCAGACTTCTGGGAAAGCTTCAGGGCAGCAGTTCCAAGCTCTGCCCAGAAACTGCCCACACCTTTGCCACTTGTGCGTGCTCTGCTTGATTTCTGCTTCCCACGTTGTTTGGATAACAGCAGGAAAATCCACTTTACACCTGCTGAACACCAAGTAAATGCTCCAGAGGCAAGAGCCCTGCACTTCCCAGGAGACTGAGGTTACTGCTGCAATTATGTGTCTGAACTGAAGGCAGCAGCAATTACAGCTTTCCCAAAAACTGGTGGTGCCTGAAGTTTCCCTGGGTTTTTTTTTCCTCAAGAAAGGTTCCAGAGAGATGTTTTTTTGCTACATCATCTCTGAAAGGACAAAACCTCCCRCTAAGCCAGAGCCAAGCAATTTAATCCCTGCTCTTTCAGACTGCCAGGGTGTATCTCCAGGAGGGGGGAGGCAGCTGTCAGGCAGCTCTCGACACCACAGCAACAGTTAAAGGGACACAAGAACTGAACACCTGACCCAGCACTGACAGAGATCCCCTTACTGGGCAACAAGCACAAGCTGGCTTGTTGGTTTTGTCTTTTGTTTCCCTTATAAACAGTTTTAAGCTCAAAAGGAAATCAAGAGTTTAAATATCAACAAACAATTATTTCCTTTGTATAATAAAATATTATTTTCACAGTAAAATATTCTGATTAAACATCAAATTTGGTGCACTTAGAGGAAAACCAAGAAACCTGGAAAAAACAACAAAATCAGGTATTTGGGATTGGTTTAAAGATGTGAATTTTGTAACTAATCTGGGAAACAGCCTGTTCTCTCCCTCTCCTTTTCTGGATCGTTTCCAACCAGGCAGTCAGCAAAACAAGGGACTTCCCACCAGTGCCCCAGCCCTGCAYGACTCTTCTCAGAACTCGGGCACCAGCAATAAAGGTCCTGCACCAAAAACATTTACTGCTCTCTGGTCTTAATGACCTTTCATTCAGGACTAATGAGCTCTGGATGAGCAACAAGCAAATCCACTGCAAGACCAAGGAACARGACAGTGTCCAGTCTCATTCTTCTCCACAGCCACAACCCCAGTGTGTCTGCAGAGCAAAGAATTCCAGCCTTCACAGGGACAGCAGTGTGGTGAAAGAGGCCAACTTTTTGCAAATTTTGTGGAAAAAGACAAAGAATCCAAGTACATATCTCTGTTTTATGGTAAATACTGCTTAGCAAATTTCCTCCATTAACCACTAGAAACAGAAGTTTTTCCGCACTGGAATTCCATTTTAAATAATACAAAGCTATTAAATCTCCCTGTGGAGTTTATGAGGTCTGAGCAGCTTAGGTCAGGCAGGAACAGGGCGGGATAAGGCCAGGGAACATCTGAGTGGAAGGGCAGTGCCATATCGCAATCCACCAAAACCCGCTCGGTGGCTTTCGGGATTAATTWATTGTAGCAAATTGGCTGCTCCAAGTGCTGGGCTTGGCTCAGCACCCAGAACACAGCCCAAACCCTGTTCCTGCGAGAAGGAATGTCACTGTCAGGGGATCCCTGTGGGTTGCAGGGGACAGTGAATGGCTCAGGCTCACCTGAGGTACCTGACACGGATCACAGCAGGAACCAGCCGTGCCAAGAGCCTTCATTCACCTGTGGTTGATATGAAGCCTCTTGACCTGGCAACTTTTCCATCCCAGCCTCCCCCCAGCCTCAGGACAGAGCTCGCTGTGGGTCTGATGTTAGCACAGGATTAACCCCAGGTGAACACATCAGGAAGACATTTAAGGTCACTGTGAAGGTGCCCCGAGGAGCCAGGACAGGACACATGGGGAGGATAGGATGATGGGGGGAGGGAGGAGGAGCACAGGTAGCAGTGAAGGTGTGATTACCTGCTCGGGCTAGCATCTCAAACTCGGACACAGTCTCCCGCAGAGGCTGCATACCTTTAGTGGCTGCGTCACTAAATGAGAACTCCTGGCTGTCGTTGTGGGGCAGCTCAGTGCTGCTCACCCGGGATGGCTTGAGGAACACCTTGGGCTCGATATCCAGCTCAAACTGTTGGRAAACCAGGGTAGGGAAAGCCACATCAGCAGCCTCTTCACCTCCCATGCTCTCTCTAYTCACATGAAGGCCTCCCACCCCATGAAAGGCCATTTTCTCCAGCTTTCCTTTCTGTGTTAAGCCATCAGAGGAGCAGCCAAGGGGGATCAGGAGCAGCCAAGGAACACACTCAGTTTCCAGGATTACACAAGGACTTCACTTAAAACCAACATTTCCCCCTGACCCAACACTCAGGCTCCCCTCTGGCGTACACAGCGAAACACATCCTCACCTTGATGGAACTATTCTCAAACATATCCACAGTCATTTCTTCCTCCTCCTCCTCCTCTTCCTCCGTTGTGGACTCAACCACCATTCCTGGGAACTTCTCGACCCCACAGAACTGCAGGAAGATGGGGGCCCGGCTGGAGTTGCGCTGGATTTCCACCCGCAGGATGCCGTCACGGGGCCACTTGTCCCGCACGTGCTCCAGGCAGTTGATGGGCGAGCGGGAGAAGGCGATGTGGATGTAGGCCAGGATGAAGAGCACAAAGAGAGCCTAAAGGGCAGCAGACAAAGCAGAGACTGTCAGACTCCTTTGTACTCATCTGCTCTTCTTTGCTTGTGGAACATCAGAATAATTTGGGCAAGCGGATTGGCAAGTGGACAAGAGCTTCGGTGCTTCCCTGTACCAACAAACGGCCAGACCTCGGCAGTTTTAGCAATGARCACACACCAAAGGCAGCAGGAACCCACTGCTGCTGCTCATGAGACCTGAGCTGCCCCTGACAGCCCAGAAAGCACAGATCCTGCGATAAACAGTGCCCCCCAAACCAACCACACACACYRCCAGTGTGGGATGAGGCCACAAGGSACACTGAAASAAATGGAAAAATGCCCGTGCCTTCCAACCCTTCCCTTCCCTCCTCGGCACAAAGAGTTTCCTGCTGAAACTCAGACAACACTGCACAKCTTTGTAAAGGCAGAATAAAGAAAATTTTAACCAAAGCAAACCCTCCCCTGGGCAGGATGACCCAAACTCAACTCAGAACTGTTGTGACAAAGAACAGGCCCTGCCCTGGGGAGGTTGAGCTGGTCCCCAAGGTCCAGTGCACAGAGCACCACAGCTCCCTGCCCTGCCTCAATCCCAGGAATGGCCATAAACCACAGCAAAGCAGAGTGGACTAAAAACCTYGTTGCCTGGAGTGTAGAGAGATGTCCAAAGTTCAGAGCTCTGAGCACGCCTGGCACRGCAAGTGGCACTGCTGAGCTCAAAGCTCCCTTCTCAGCCTCCCTGCGCTGCTCTGTCCTCATCAGCCCTGCCGCCCTGACCTATTTGTGACGAACAAACAGCCTGGTAAACATCACTCTGCAGAGGAGCTGCACAGGGAGATGTAAGGGAAGGTAAAGAAGGGCCATTTCCCCGGTTGCAGGAGCCACAGCAGAGCCAGGCGCAATTCCAGGACTCTGAATGGGAATGTGGGCTATCACTTCCCTCCTGTCAGCAGCCAGAGCAGAGCTGGGAGCAGGCTGGAGGCTGCTGACCCCGTGGGCTGCTCTCCACAGAGCCCTGAGGAAGTTTTTCCTTCTCTGGCAGAGCTGTGATTAGAGGCAGAAGCAAAACAAACTCTCAAAAGCACTCTGTCTGACCACTGCACCGTTAGCACCATCCCTGTCTGCTGGGATCCAGCTGGACAACTGGGAGAGGGAACAGGGATGTGAAAAACCCAAACATTTCCTGAGAGAGTAGAAAATGCAGCCGTGCAGTATGAGACAGGCTGTGCTGAATGTTTTCTTGCTGAATTGCAGAAACCCAGAGGAGTGTGGTGCTGTCACCTGGCAGGCTGCTCTTCCMCTTACTCTAATTTCCCATTCTGGAAGCTGTGGAACAGGGCTCAACCTACAGTCAGTCACCCCTGGACACTGACAAGCTCCTCTGGGAGGGTCCCTGTCACCCAGCAGGGACAGGTGGGGTCACCCCAAAGCACTGCAACACATCACTGGCACTGCTGAATAAAACAGGATCACAATGGGGCTGTGCCTTAACTGCTTCCAGAAAAGACAAGACTCCAGCAAAACTCCAAACAGTCCAGTATATCATGTGGGCAACGTATCCAAAAAGTGTGATTGCTCAGAAACAGAAACTGAAACCTCGCCTGCCTAGTGCTAGCTTGGCTACGCAACAAGCAGGCTCAGGAATTTGCTTTTGATCTACAGATCTGGAAACAGAGCTCCAGAGTTCAGGGAACACCGGGGCCACGATGGAGACCCCTCYTTCCCTCACAGGAGGGAGCTCGGTGTGTGTGGCCCAAACAAAGCCTGCCACCTCCGGCAGAGCCACGACTTTTTGCGTTTCTAAGGAAATTCCTGCCCTCAGCCCAGCCGCGGGCTAGCAGGAGGAGCTGCCCCTCACCTTGAGGAGAACGAAGAACTCGAAGACCCGGCGGAAGGAGGGAGGGAAGAGGCGAGCGTAGGTCACTGCCATCTTGAAGAACAGCGCGTGGAAGAGGCGGTCCCGCACGTTGATCAGGGGGTTCTGGTTGAGGTTGGGGTTGCGGACACCCCGGTTGTTGCCGCCGGCGGCCCCGGCGTTGTTGGCCGGGTGGTGGTTGTTGGCATTCGGCTGGTTCTCGGACATCCTGACGGCGGGGCCGGTGAGGGCTGGGCCCGGAAAGGCCGCTGCTCCTCCGCGTTGCGGGCTGGGGCCGGGCGGGCGCTGCGGAGGGGCCGCGGGCGCGGTGCCGGCGCTGCCTCCGTCCCCGCTCCCCGGCCCCGGCCCGGCGCAGACGCCTCGGGGCGGCGGCGGGTCAGGCCCAGCGGGTCAGGCCTGAGCGCTCAGCGGGGCCCGGGAGCTGCGCGGCCGGAGCGGACGCAACGGGGAGGCGGCTGCCGTGCTGTCCCCGCGGCCATGGGGGTTCCTCGGCGGGGCGGCGCGACCCGGGCGTGGCGGGCGGCTCAGCTGTCCCGGTGCGCTCCCCCGTCCCGTCCCCTCAGCGATCCGCCGCCATCTTCCTCCGCCGGACACGGCGGCTCCGCGCGTGCGCGCGCACGCGCTCCCCGGGGCACGACGGGACGGTGGAGGACACGCGCCGGCCCCCGCCCCGCCCCTATGCAAATTAAGACTCTCCCGCAATGCCCCGCGCGTGGCCTGCACTTTCGTGTGGGAGCCCGACCTYGAAAAGGCGAAAAATTTCTGATAAAGCGTAAGATTTGGARTRAAAATCAGCGTGMATCRTCTGGGAAGAGTAACCACGTRAAGAAAAGCGCGGAAGTCYAGAAACAAGTACTCGCAATGAYGTAAAAATTATCARCTGAGRGGGGTTTAAATAGCYCTGCGGAGGCCWCARRATTCGTGCTCGCTTCGGCAGCACATATACTAAAATTGGAACGATACAGAGAAGATTAGCATGGCCCCTGCGCAAGGATGACACGCAAATTCGTGAAGCGTTCCATATTTTTTTCTCAGGTTCGTCTCAAAACTCATTCCCGGGAGGTCTCTTTTGGGCCCCCGAGACGCCTCACGGGATGAGGTAACGGGGAGCTCCCTGTGGGTCGATGTTCGCCGGTTCCAAGGCCACCGTGCTGCCCCATCCCGCTGCCCCCCCCGCCCTGTCCCTCACTGGCTTCACATCGTGGTGAGGGCGATCGAGCCCCCGGCAGTACCGCGGGTCTTTATTGAATTGTTCTGTTACAGCAAGCTCGGCTCCGGTGGGGAGCAGCGGGGTCCCAAGGCCAGCCCCAGACACCCCCATCCCGCTCAGCAGCCCCCAGCAGGGCATCACCCCATSGCAGGGAGCTGGGGCCAGCCCTGTCCTGGCAGTCTGACCCTCCCCAGTGCCCACTGTCCCGTGGGATGGTGACATTCCAGTGGGCAGGATGCGCTCAGGCCTCCTCWGCGCAGCTCCCAAAGCCCCGTGACCCCGCATCATGCTGCGGTGACAACTGGGGACGGGTCCATGGGGGTCCAGGGGACACCATGTCCCACTCAGACAGCGCTCTCCTGGTAGCTGTCATCCTCCAGGAATGTGGCCAGTCGCCTCCCAGGGATGGGAGCCACATCCTGCCCTGGGGCTGTGACCTCCCCAGCATCCCCATCGCTCTGCTCCTGGGCAAAGTGCACGAAAACCTACAAAAAACAGCACAATGAGGGACAGCGCCACGGGACAGGGCCACCKCGCCCTCACCCTTGGCTCCCCTGTCACCTGATCCAGGGTGGTCTGGGACACGGAGTAGTCCTCGATGTGGCAGGGGCCGCGGTGGGCGGCCAGGAGGCTGAAGACGGTGGCCAGGGATGCGGTGCGGGCGGGCAGGTGGTACTGCAGCAGCCCCCCGTGCCGCTCCCGCAGCACGATACCCGGGAAATGCTGCTGCAGCAGGGTCTGCACCGCCGCCGGACCGGGGCCACCCGCCCGCACCACCACTGTGTACCCATCCCCAAACCTGCGGGGACAGGGGACAATGATACCAGYGCTGGAAATGGCCACAGCCCTCAGGAGACCCAGCTGAGCCCCCCACCCCWGTACCTGTTTTTGAGGTGCTGGACGCTGCCCAGGCAGCGGAAGCGGCCGTTGACCATGATGGCCATCCTGGTGCAGAGCGCCTCACACTCCTCCATGCTGGGGGAGCACGTGTGAGCCCCACAGGGCAGARGGATACTCCCCCGTGGGGGATTCCCATGGGAATGTGGTTATGGGGGCAGAGGGGTGGCACTGCAGGCCCCACGTGGGGACTCACCTGTGGGATGTGAGCACCACGGACCGTCCGTCCCGGATAACGCCGAGGATGCGTTCCCACAGGAACCTCCGTGCTTGCGGGTCCATCCCCGTCGTGGGCTCATCCTGTAACGGCCCCAACACGGGGTCAGTCCTGGCAGGACCCTGATGCTGCCCTGGGGCCTCCCATGGCCTCTCCTCACCAGAAAAACGACGGGCGGGCAACCAAGGAGGGCGATAGCCGTGGAGAGTTTGCGCTTGTTGCCCCCGCTGTACTTCCCCGCTGGCCGGTCCGCGTGGGGACCCAGCCCCAGAGCGGCGATTCCCCACTGAGCCACCTGCCAGAGACACAGGGGGTGAGGGTGGGGGCTCCCCAGGGGCTGGGGGGGCCGGGGTACGGGCCCTACCCTGGGGGTCTCCTCCTCTGGGACCCCGCGCAGGCGGCTGTAGAACTCCAGGTGCTCCCGCCCCGTCAGCAGGTCCGTGATGGCGTCAAACTGGGGACAGTAACCCATGTGCTGGTGGACAGACTGGAGGTCGGTGAGCACGCTATGGGGACAGGTGAGCAAGATATGGGGACAGGTGAGCAAGATATGGGGACAGGTGAGCAAGATATGGGAACAGGTGAGCATGGGATGGGGACAGGTGAGCATGGGATAGGGACAGGTGAGCATGGGATGGGGACAGGTGAGCATGGGATAGGGACAGGTGAGCATGGGATGGGGACAGGTGAGCATGGGATGGGGACAGGTGAATACACTGTGGGACAGGTGAGCAAAATATGGGGACAGGTGAGCATGG